CACAACAAATGGCCAAGCAAGCGCAGACACTGACAAGATACGCGATACAGAACGAGACCAAACGCGATATCAGCATGTCTCCACACAGATACATGTATTCGTATTGAATACAGGCAATTCACCCCAATCCAGAAGGGGGCGCTTGCTGCAATGCAACGCTGTTTGATAACCGGCCGCCAGCAGAAGAACAGCGAATGCCAGGAGTTGTGCACTTGAAGGCATCACTGTATAAAGGTCTGCTTTTATTTGTGTACACTCACAATGAAAACAAAACATTGTGCTTTTGTAAAATAAAGAAAACAAATAGGATATAGCTTTCTGACATTTGAGTTTATTTTCTGTGAACAAATTAAGCCTGTCACAAAAATGAACTGAAACTCAGCGTATATAGGCTACGTTACGTGTCGCACTGTTTTTTTTTCCCCTTGTTTATCTGTAAACTAAATCAAATACATTTCAAGAATTTATTCCTTGTATGCCTATATATGTACTGCAGATTTTATATATATAACATAATGTAATAATATTTAGTATTTTCACATCTAGGTGGAAAGAAATTGTAATTTGTACTACTGTCTGTTCAAAATAAATGAAAAGAAACTGAGCATAGTAGATTTTCTTTTTTTCCTGTTGTACCGAAATCATATCGAACCATGACCCCCGAATCGAGGTACATACTGAAACGTGACATCTGTGTACCGTTCCACCCCTAATATATATATATATATATATTACTACTTTTTAATATTTCACTATATTTTTTATTTATTTTAATGTATTTTAAATTGTAATTTGTTTCTGTGATGTCAAAGCAGCCATTGATTTTCAGCTGCCATTAGTCTTCAGTGTCACATGATGCTTCAGGATCATATCTACAATGATATGCAGATTTGCTGCTTAAGAAACATTGATTATTAATGTTTAATGTTGAAAACAGTTGTGCTACTTTTTTTGTAAAGTTTACAAAAACAGCATTTATTTAAAATATGAAATCAAATTTTGTGTATCACTATAAAAGTTTTTACTGTCACTTTTGATCCATTTAATAGAGTCTTCCTGAATAAAACTATTAATTTCTATTAATTAGTGTATGCCGTTTTATACTGGCATTGCTGAATAAATACAGCCTAAGACTAAACACATTGCCACTGGTTTTGTCAGTCCAACTGCATTTCACAGATGTAAGCATCCTTTAGCAGTTCAGTTCCTGGTCTGATCATGTCCTTTTGGCCAAATGCCTTTTGCCTGAAACAAGGCGCTTAACCCCTGTCTGCTCCAGAACATCCACCCGTTCATCCCCCCTTTTGTCTGCGTCGGATTATATTAGTAATACACAAAGTGAAGGATTCCTGGACAAACTGAATGCAATTAGCAGAAGCCTTAACAAAAGCCTTTCCACAATCCAGTCTTAACCGTGCGGATGTGGGCACATGCCTGTCTAAACACAGCAGCCATGTTTTGATAAGCTCACAGGCACAGTAAACACAATGATAAGGGTGGCTCGGGACAGTATCAGGGGAAATATATGGTGCCGTTAGTTGCTGTTGCCATCGGGAGACTTGGCATCAGGTTGGAAAATATTTTACCCATCTTTGTTTTTTTTTGTTTTTTTCCTAGTCTTTTCTGTCATTCTCTGTCCCTCCATTTATCCTTCTCTTTCTGTCTGCCCTCAAGGTCCCAGACAGTAAGAAATAAGTCATTTTCAGCTATAACAAGAAATGGTGAAAACAAATAAATAAAGACAGGCTAGTTAACTAATTTTGGGTAGGCAATAGCCTAGATTACGTTCAGACACACACACACACACACACACACACACACACACACACACAAACAATAGTGATTAAACATCTGCTGAAGCACATTAAACCGACAAGCATGGATTACAGAATTCCTGATCTGAATTCAGAATTTTATATTTTGATAGTAGTTTTAAAGATTGTCCAATAATACTAATAATACAATAATTCCAAGCCATTCCAGTCTTGACTTTTTCTGCATTTTGACAGGCGCGCACATTCAGTCCCTGCAGGGGTGAATGTGTGTTATTGGATCAGAGGCCGTTCCTGTAAATGGAGATCTGTGTGTTTACATCAGTAAGTGGATTATGGCCGACCAGTTTTCCTCACATCAGTCCCTTAACTTATGTAGCATGAGGAGTTTTCACACACATGATCACTCACACAAAGAGAAGAGTGAAGGGAAAAGGCATATAAATATACACAGTGAGGAGAGATGATGGGCTCAGTAATCATGTTAATGTTGATCTGAACGCTTGATTCTCCTCAAATCACTTGACATCACAGAACTCACGGGCTCATGGATATATAAATTGATTTATTTTATTTATTATTGGCTATCTGATGTTGATTTAAAGTGCCTTTTTTACCTTCATGAGGGAATATTTGATTTTGACAATACAAGCTGCCTTGCTGTCTAGCTGCCTACATACGTATCTACCTTCTAAGGCAGCATCCTAACAGAAATATAACTCATGGGAGTGTGATTTTGAACAGTCTAAGTTAGCAACAAAATATAGACAAATATTAAATGCATGAATATGCATAGCAAAATCAGTAAAATCATATAAAAAAAATCAAAGTAAGATCACACACACACACACACACACACACACACACACACACACACATATATATATAGGATTTGCCACTGACGATTCAAACGTGAGTTTTGAGCAGTGTAGAGTAGGGCTTGTTGTTTGTCATTTCTCCAATCACAAATGCAGACATGGTTTTATGTTTACGCGGCGCGATGCAACGAGTAAAAAGACAGTATTCACTCAGACACACACACACACACACACACACACACACACACACACACAAACAATAGTGATTAAACATCTGCTGAAGCACATTAAACCGACAAGCATGGATTACAGAATTCCTGATCTGAATTCAGAATTTTATATTTTGATAGTAGTTTTAAAGATTGTCCAATAATACTAATAATACAATAATTCCAAGCCATTCCAGTCTTGACTTTTTCTGCATTTTGACAGGCGCGCACATTCAGTCCCTGCAGGGGTGAATGTGTGTTATTGGATCAGAGGCCGTTCCTGTAAATGGAGATCTGTGTGTTTACATCAGTAAGTGGATTATGGCCGACCAGTTTTCCTCACATCAGTCCCTTAACTTATGTAGCATGAGGAGTTTTCACACACATGATCACTCACACAAAGAGAAGAGTGAAGGGAAAAGGCATATAAATATACACAGTGAGGAGAGATGATGGGCTCAGTAATCATGTTAATGTTGATCTGAACGCTTGATTCTCCTCAAATCACTTGACATCACAGAACTCACGGGCTCATGGATATATAAATTGATTTATTTTATTTATTATTGGCTATCTGATGTTGATTTAAAGTGCCTTTTTTACCTTCATGAGGGAATATTTGATTTTGACAATACAAGCTGCCTTGCTGTCTAGCTGCCTACATACGTATCTACCTTCTAAGGCAGCATCCTAACAGAAATATAACTCATGGGAGTGTGATTTTGAACAGTCTAAGTTAGCAACAAAATATAGACAAATATTAAATGCATGAATATGCATAGCAAAATCAGTAAAATCATATAAAAAAAATCAAAGTAAGATCACACACACACACACACACACACACACACACACACACACACATATATATATAGGATTTGCCACTGACGATTCAAACGTGAGTTTTGAGCAGTGTAGAGTAGGGCTTGTTGTTTGTCATTTCTCCAATCACAAATGCAGACATGGTTTTATGTTTACGCGGCGCGATGCAACGAGTAAAAAGACAGTATATGTCATTATAATCCATAATTATGTCTCCACTGGATGCAACAAATGCCTCGTTTATAATGGGTTTTATTGTTTTTGTCTCGTAGCTCCGGCCGAACAGGGCATCACAGTATGGTAAGGGTGTAACATTTCCGTCACACGCTTGAGGTATTCGGCCAATCACAACGCACTGGATAGCTGGCCAATCAGAGCACACCTCACTTTTCAGACTGATATGCTTTGTAAAAATCGACATGTTTCAGAAAGGCAGGGCATAGAGGAGAAACAATAATGTACAGTATGTGGAAAAGATTGTGTTTTTTTTTTTACTTATACCGCATAAACACATTTCATTACACCAAATACACAAAATAATGTTATTTTTAGCAACATCATATGACCCCTTTAAGAGCCTCAAAACTAGATCAGAATATAACTGTGTATCAGATTTTACAAAAATCAGATTTTTACAAAAAGTTACAATGACATTTCTTGCCATTTTTGATTTGATGCTCCGTTAATTGCTGACCCTAATACACACTGCAGATTGTAAATCTAGTAAACTGCCGTACATGTCACCGTTTTGCAGAGTCCCACCCTAGCTATGGTCTGTTTTGAGAGTGGATCAACATGTCAAATACTGAACTGGTTTGAGTGTAGCAGACAGTAATTCTGCTGTCTATAGGATTATTGGTGTGCATTGAGACTCTTGTTATCCTGATGTAATATATTCCACATCACATTAGAATGAATGATCTTGTGCTAATGAAATGCAGTAATTAATTGATTGCATTAAAAAAAAAGAGCTGAGAGGGTAAGATAGAGAGTAAAACAGAAAGAGAGGCTTTGATATGAGAGTTTAAAATGGCTTCCGCAGAACTGAGACGGAATACGAGGTCTGTGCTTTTTTTATTGGGGTGATTACACAAGCTGACAGTCCATTCTGTTGGCTAGCCATCGGTGTTGTAGTCAGAGAGAGGGGAAATAATCCTTCTCGACAGCCAGTCCTGCCGTGATATGAGAATACTTCTGGAGGATTCTCTGGCAATTACGGCCACGGAGTGAGGCAGATGCTCTGTGTGAGTCGGGATCTAAACATCACTAAGCACAAGGAGATGATTTGTACATCAATCTGTGCATTTGCATGAGTTAGCATGTGGATTTGGCTCACAAAAATAATTTATATAAAAATGTATTGGTCCTTTTGCATGCATGTTAGTATTTATTTCAGTCTATTGTAATATCAATCCGAAGTCACTATGCTGTAGGACAACTATTTTCAACATTAATAATATTAAGAAATTATTATTATTATTATTTTTTTTTATATTTTTGTAATCCTTGAGCACCAATCAGCATTACAAAGATCTATGTGACACTAAACACGTTAAAAATGTGTTTATTATGCAAGATTAATTAATGTGTTAATTAATGCAAAAATATAACTCATCTAATCATACCCCTGACTTATATGCTACTATGAGCAACACTTCTACAGAAATATTGATATATGCAATACATTAATTGTGATTAATTTGATTTATTAAAAATCATATCTTGTAATTAATTTGATTAAACCTTTAATCAATTTACAACCCTGCTAAAATCTTTTTGAAACTCTTATACAAGCATTTACTCTATGTACTTAGAAAATCCTCTGTTAATGCCCTGGCGCATCATGTTACAAGGCTTTTAATTTTGAAGGGTATCTGTGTCCTTTAAAGTAGAGATAATGACTAATAGCTATATGCTAGGCCCGTTTAATTGACAGCATATGGTAATTGAGCTCAATAGTGCGCCCCCTACTGACTCCTGGTGAGTGACACGTCCTGAACCTGGGGTTGAGTTCCCAAAGTCAAGGGCCTGCATTACCATATCGCGCTGTCAGGGAGGAAGATGGAGAAAAAGAGAAAAAGGGAAGAGCAATGAAGGGCTCTCCTTTGCAAAGGTGTTTAATTATCTTCACTCAGGACCATGCCCCACCTGTTCCCTCAGACCAGCTGACACAACAAGCAACTGTCAAACAGACGACAGACAGATTAACCAGAGCACACCTGTAGAAAAGCGAGGGATGATCCTCCTCCTCTGTCATCTTTTCCTCCACACAAACTGCACACCCGTACAGCAATATGGCTCTTTTATTGCAGGACAAGGGAAAAGTATGTTAACGATTTCCAGCAAGCTGCATCTATTAGCGATGCGACAATGAGTCAATGC